TTATTTTTTAATGGATTTCAAGAAAACATACAACTGTTAATTATATCGACAGCAATTCATGAGTTTCCTGACGATGACCGTAATATGTAATTATGCGTTTTTGAAAGAAGTATCTTATGCTCACCAAGGGTATATTTATTTCATGAAAAATACAGTAAAAACTGTAATATTGTGAAATATTATTACAATTTAAAATAACCATTTGCTACTGTTTTCTAAAACTAAATGTTCAACATCATTACTTTAGTCTTCAGTGTCACACGATCCTTCAGAAATTAATCTAATATGCTGATTTGCTGCTAAAGAAACATTTATTATTATTACTAATGTTGCAATCAGTTGTGCTGCTTCATATTTTTGTGGAAATTATGATATTTTATTTATTTATGTATTTATTAATACATTTATTTGTTTGTTTGTTTTGCATCTTTAATGTCACTTTCGGTCAATCTGATTAGTATTTGCGGAATAAAAGTACCAATTTCTTTCAAAAATCTCACTGACCCCAACCTTTTAAATATGGTTGGATATGAGTTACATGTCCACAGTTATGTTCACAGACAAAGCAATTACAAAAATACAGCTCAGCCATGACTGTGAGTTCTGACAAAATTTTATTTCAAATGTAAGTGTTCCAATAATAAAGTAAAACATAAATCAACAGCGATGTAAATATTAGCTTATAAAATAAAAAGCGTAACATGAGGTGCTAAGCATTTCTTAAAAGGAATCACAGTCAAATACAGAAAGGTAGCCAAGCCGCAGACAGACATTTATATATAGATAGATAGATAGATAGATATTCATAGTCAAACAGACAGGAGTGGCATTCCAGTATCATTACCGACTGATTGGAATTACAAGCACAGAAAAGTACAGTAAGGTGTGGGGAGGGGTGGTACTCAGTAAGTATCGTCTGTTATCTTTCAAAGTTTTAGGTGACTGGAGAAAAGGAAAGAAAGTGTAATCAAGGGGGAAAAACACAAAAATATGCACATACTCCACAAGCCTTAAGCTACGATTGCGTGTCTTCAGAAGTTGTAGTATGTATAGTTTGGTTAGTCAATGATCTTGAAGCTTTTCTTCCTACAACACTACACTAGATCTTTTTTCTATCGTCTTTTTTGTTGCTTTTTTAAAAAAAATACTGAAACATTCCTGTAACAGCCAGCCCTTGTGGCTCTAATGTTTGTACAGACAGGTTACACATTTTATATACACTGTGGTGGTTGGTGCAGAACAATGGACAGAATCCTTCCATCTAAGATCCATTCAAGTACAGTGTTACACTTAAGTTAGTCATTAGTCTTTCCACATGTTCATTATTTGTTTCTTTCTTTGTGGTTCACTTCATGTTTTCCATTTACTCTTAGCACATTCACTTTGACCTAAATCTTTCTCCAATCTTGACCTTACAAAGGCTGAGTAAGGTCTTCACAAACTTTTCTGATCTTCAAAAACACTGTTTACATTACTTGCATTTCCAGAATTCTTATACCAAGCTAACAGGAAATAAAAGCAAAGAATAGTCAAATGTTGTTAACCCAACATTCAGCTCTGCCTAACTTAATCATTAAGAAGTTAATAAGAAGACTGAATCTATTTTTAAATACCATGACAACAGTCCAGTGTCTCACCGAATGTAAATGTATTCTCTTACTCCAAAAACTAGTTAAATATACTTTCGTGTGCCCTTTTTTTAGTATCCACTTTTCACTGCATAGTTCAGCTCAATACTCTTTTTTTTTTTCAGTCAAGGTGAGATTTGTGGCACATTGTTAAAAAGCCTACCAGCGTTTCATTTTGTAACCACAAGAAGCATCTACTTTGCTTTGAGAAAAAAAAAAAAACACAAAAAGAAAGCTGAAACATGACATTTGGAAAAAAATAAAAGAAGAAATGTATATTTTTTTCTTGTTTTAGTAATGCTATTTACAGAACAGAGGTATCTGTCAGAAAAAAAAGAGCTTCAGGAATCTGAACACATCTCCTCTTGTTCAGTCGTTCTTTGTTTCAGCGACAGAACAGGAAATGCTTGATTGTTGGGGGTTATTGAGTAAGATACTGTAATGCAATTCAAGATACAATAAATAAAAATAAGGAAATCTAAAACAAACAAATAAAAACCTCACAGAGAAGAACATTAAATCTAAAGATTGTTGATTCTTTAACCAAACCTGTGGACTCTGTTTTTTTTTTTTAGGAGATGCTCAGATCCTGGCGACATATTTCTGCAGCTTTGATAGTGCTTCCACGCGTCTTACTTCTTGTCTTTCTTAGTAGGCTTCTTCTTGCTGGCAGGCGTCTGAGCTGCCTTGGGGGCTTCAACAGGAGGAAGGGCCTGGGAAGGGGGAAGGGCCTGCTGGGGTACCTGTTGTTGAGGGTTGACCGTGAGGGTGGCGGTACTACCCGGGATGTAGACATTCTGGCGGTAGTCCGGGCCGTACTGTGGATTGTAGCGAGGGCCAAGAGTTGCAGTGGCTTCACTTACTTCTGAGAGCAACGGTAGGGTGAGAAAGAAAGAAGAAATAGTAGGAGGCATAGAGACAGTAGAAGAACAGGAGAGAGAGATGGGAAAGGTTATAGATGGGTTGGTTCGGTACAGAGCTCATAATTCAGTCACTCATGAACCGCATTGCAGCTCCCTCAGTGACCTGCTTCTGCCTGCCCATCCCCCATGCATTATGTATGCTGTAACATCGACACACATCACACACTCAGCAACACGCTTGCAGAACAGAAGACGTGTAAATAGAAGAATAGCACACTCAAACAATACTATTTTTACAGTTCTTGTAAAATACATTGCGAATGGAAGTGACATTGTCCTCTAACAGCAGTGAGGCAGTTCTGCCTTTGTTCCCAAAGTATAAATCTTTTCCACAAATTCACAATGAAGTTCTAGTCATGAAATTGTTATCCAAAATCCACACTTGTGAAAAAGAAGTGCACTTTATTGTACTGAACATGCACTTGTAGTATACTTCAAATCGCACAAGTACATTTTAAAAAGAGTTCGCAGATTTATATAATAATAATTAAATAAAAGGCCACTTAATTTTACTTAAAGAGTACAATTTCATGACTTTATTAACACACTTAAGTATACTTTTAAAAAGTGTACATTGTAATAATGTCCGATTTTTTTAAGTACATTTAAAAATAATTTTATATTCTTTTGTCGTGCTTTAAAGGACGTTTATTTTGCACATGTAAAGTACTTGATTAAAATTTAAACTGTAATGTGTTATTCAATAATGCTGTACATTTAAAGATAATACATTTTAATGTAACAAATTGCAGCTACTTCGTTACAAATGTGTAAAACACAAATATATTTAAATGCATGACATTTCAACAAATATATTTAAATAAATGTTAAGTAAGTGTCTGAAAACATTGCATTTAAGTATAAGCACTTAAGTATATTCTTTTATTATTTCTTTAAGTACTCTTTTTTTAAAGTATGCTAAAGTGCACTTTTTCCACAAGGCCATGCCCAACAGATAATTCATAAAAATCTAACTATATGTATTGCTTTACTAAATACAGATTTATATCTAAATACATTTACATGCACTTACAAGTTTGATTTTAGTTAGTCTAGAGTAGTTAGTCTTTTTTTTTTCTTTTAATGTCATGAATACATTTTAGTCCAACTAAAATCATGCCAGCCAACAGATTTAGATAATGTGATTTGTAGTTCAGCTTCCAGAATGTATATGTGAATGTTCTGTAAATAACACTCTTGAGATTCTGTTGTTGTCCATCTATGCTAGAGTAGAACATCAGCACAGTGTTATCATTCTGACTGCAGCTGCCAAGAGGGAGAAAGGCTCTTTACACTCAATTAGTTTGACAGTCTATAACAGTCAATAACAGTCAATAAATGGTGAGATCCATTTTACTCTGGAAGCCGCACTCTCTCTTTTCTTTTTTCTCTCACTACATCTCCCTCTTTCCTTACATCATCCAGTTATTAACGGTCTTCAGAATCTAACCTTGAGGACTGATGTATCCAATACAATATACTGTATGTGGACAAACTTCCCTGCTGTAAAGACCGGCATATGCTGTGTTTTGGATGCTGGTGGGATGATTTGCCCCCAACGGCTTGCTTAATTAGCTTAACCAGCAAGATTATCATGAAAATGTAGCTTGTAAAGCTGAACAGCCTGAAGGATATTTCTAGCCGAGAAAATTTTTGCTTTACATGCAAAATGTTTATGACATTCTTGTTGGCTATGCAATTTTTTTCTAACAAGCTAAGTTTTTCTTGTTCAAGTGCTAATGCTCTCTCCTCATTCTCTTATTTGCTCTCATTCTAATGCAGTTTTATAAAAGAAGGAATAATAAGTGAGATTGAGATTCACCGTTCGCTGCCACTATCAGAGCCTGGAACTGTTCAGCTTCGGTAGGGGGGTTGGGCCACGGTCTTGTTCCCGCTATCACACCAGCGCTGGCACCTGCCTCATCAGGACGAGCTCCAGCCCTAAATGACAGAGAACAGGGTTAGTGACTCGATATGCATTCAAACACATTCATGGTGCTTTTTTTTCTCACATTTTACCTCTCACACATATACGAGAACAGCAGCCACCACGTTTGCTAGCATAAATGCACCTGGTTCATTAGCTGAGACAGCCATTTTGTGTGACAGGGCAGGACAGTGCAGTGCAGTCAGAAAATGGAGGCTAAAGTCGACAAAGCAGCGGTAGACATGAAGTAAACAGACAGATGCATTGATTAAATACAGTTGTGTCTGTTTATATCATATGGCTTAACACATACACTTTGCCCTTTGATCAAATTACAACAAGCTTTATTTAAAGGGATAGTTCACTCCCCCTCCAATTTTTTTTTTTTCACTTACTCACCCTCATGTTGTTCCAAACCTGTATAACTTTTTTTCATCTGTAAAACACTAAATAGAAAATACAGTGGCAGAAGTCTAGTATAAACCAGAAAATAAATAAATAAATAAAAATAAATAAATTCCTGCACAGTACTCAAACTTGCATCCTTGTAAAATGTTATTAGCTCAGCAACGTTTCGGGTCAATTGATGTTCCTCAGGCTTATAAAACATGCAGACATATCAGCTAATGTAAAAATAAATGTAAAAATACAATTTACAATGGATAATAATGATAAATTCCCCATTAAAGGTCAGTCCTTATTTTCAGTGCCTTTTGTGTCCCCAGTAAGGATCATGATCTTACTGCCTTAAAATGCTGAACAATATACATTTTAAGGCTGTCTTAGTCATAAATAACAAAATTTGAACAATTTGAAACATTTAACAGCATTTTAAAATACCAAATATCACCACTTTTCCTGTGTCCCCAGGCTTCTGTATCCCATTTTCAATATAAATACAACACTTACTATATTATTATTTTCTTTTCTTTTTACATTTTTGATTTTAGAAGTAATACTTCTTTCAAATTTATAGATTTTGTAAATTAATTTAATTTAACAATTATAATAAAGGTTTTTAGTTTGTTCCTCAAGTTATTGTCTACTCTGTTATTTTGACTACTGTCAATTCAAATGAAAGCTGAAAAAAAAAGAAAAAAAAAGAAGACAATTAAATCATAAACATCACTTCCTTGGAGGGAAAACAGCTTGGTAATGTGAGTGAGATCCTCTGATAAGCTTCAAATAAGCTTTTAAATGGGCAAAGGAACATGTTTATTAGGATAATGTACAAGATGCCCATACATTAAAGTCTTAAGTCTTTTAATCTATTTTTCATTGTCATTTTATAGATTGTGTTTCATAAATGATTAAATTTGTTTTCCCAAGATGCAAGTTTGAGTAGTGTGTTAGAATTATTTTTTTCCCCAAATAAATCTGTGAATTTCTTCTGTCTTTTATTTTTGAGTGAACTATCACTTTAAGTATATTTTGGTTATTACAGGCTGCTCAGTTTCAAAATGACATTACTAAAAAGCAGATTTTTTTACTCTCTCTCTCTCTCTCTCTGCCCACACAAACAGATTGATAGCAGAGTCCGTACATTAGGACAGAAATATTTCTCTACTCTTTAGGGACAGACTTCACAGACTTGGCTCTACAAAGCCAAAATAAATCAAATCGGAACAAACAAGTTTACTAAGCACAGGTAAACACACTGCAATTTCAACCCGCAGAGCAAAATGCAACAAACAGCTATCAGCGATACACATACATCCAAAAGCCTTATCCTCAAATGAACCAACTGCACGACATTTGTGTTCACATTTATATGTGTAGGAACAGACTGGACAGCATGTCGCTGGAAGCTGCAGGACACATAATCTGAAAGACCTAAACACAACATTTCACTAGAAGGCTACACCAGGTGAAGTCAAACGCTACAAGCCTTCTCTTCGCCTTCACTCTACCTGGACTTCTCGTATGGAGTCCATCTCTGCTGCAAGGTGTGGAACCTGTGTTGGCTGAAACATAAGCACAGGAGCATGCAGCTGTCACTCAATCACCCTGCGTCTGACCAGAGACTGACCAGAGCACATGGATGGCTGAGAACGGATTTGGGTTTCCTTTAAGTTTAAACCTTATATCTTAAGACGTTGTGTCTCACAGGTAGCTGGTTCCCTTTTGTATGTTCCTATCTGATAATTGCTATCTTAATATATTTGGTGTATTTGCAAGATTTTTTTTTTTGCTCCACATGATTTCTTTTCTTTGCAATATTTTTGCAGGATATTCTTCACAGGATTTCTTTTGTGGGATTTTATTTTTGCAGGACTTTATTTCTTTTGTGGGTTTTTCTTTGCAGGATTTCTTTACATGATTTATTTTTGCAAGATTACAGTACTGTGGTAAATTTACATCTTTAATATTCATAAAATGGCGATAATGGGCTAAATGTAGAGATGAAAACACTAAAGGAAATACAAATAGTAAATTATTCTAGATAGTTTGGTATTTGTTGATTTTATCTATAAATATTGTTTCCTTAACTCTTCTTGCTAAATGCAGAGGACAGTGACCATCAAACATTTAGGCACTCAAATGTTTGTAGGTAATCTCAGATTTTGAAAACACTAAAGGAAGGAAAATTTGTACATTATTTCGTATTCTAATCTAGATAGTTTGGTATTTGTTGACTTTGCCTTTGACTATTGTTTACTTAACTCTTCTTTCTGACTAAATTCATAAGATAGTGACCACCAAAAATCTAGGCACTCAGATGTTAACAGGTAATCCAAGATTTTGTTCTGTTTATATCTCACTCCAATCAGCAAGATTAAATAAAAACTATTACAAAACAGTGTACGTAATATCACGTGGATAATCTCAAATGTATTTATGGTTTTGCGAGACATATAAACTGAATCCAACACTTACCCGCTGGGTCCAGGCCTCTGGTTTGGGGGAAATCGCCAGTCAGCATTAGGGGGATTTTGCTGAAAATAAGAAGAAAATAATTTTGTCAATACTTTTGTTTGGCATAGAGATTAATATCCACTATTGGTCCACCCTGGAGTGCAGGTCCCTCCATCCCGTCATAGGAGGTTGTAGTTCTGAAACACAAATTTGTATTATTGACAGCAGATTTGATCTGCTTCCTCTGCTTTTCCTCAGGACTATTTTCTGAAACTGCACCTTTGCTGATACAGAAAGAATATGTTGAGGGGAGTAGTAAGAATCAGCGCAACAAGAAGAACATAAGGTAGAAAATAGGTTGAGGGAGAGTGTGTGTGAATAATTGAAACTTCGATCATGTTGCTGTCACACATGGGTGCATGTACGTGAGGACTATACACATAAGTCTGTATCAAACAAAATATGAGCTCACCTGTAGGTGGATTGTGGCTAAAATTTTGCCCACCTTTTGGATTTTTTTTCATAATTTTTGTCATAATTTCCTTAGTATCCCACACAATTCTATTGCATCTCCCCACACTGAGTCGAGTTATTATGTTGCAAGATAGCATTGTGCAATATCACACTGTAATGATCCTCCAAACTCTAGTGTAGATTCCACAAAGACTCTACTTTGTAAATCATAATGACTGCAACAATCTGCCTCACCTGACTTGAGCATTTGAACACACTATTTTCAGTCAAAACTCTTCTCAGATTCACTGGGTCTAGAAATAGCTCAAATTGTGGCCTGATTCTTAATACACTTGGCATTATAAAGTGCTTAGTCCAAAAAGTGAGTCATAGTGACTGGAGCCATACTCTGAATTAATGACATACAGCATGAATTCCATCTTACTAGAAATGATTTTGAGAAATTGTGTGACACTAAATTCACACCACAAACATCTGAACAGTGTATCATTTTTTTTTCCATTAACAGATGTAATGTTTTGCTTACACTACCCATCAAAAGTTTGGTGTCAGTGAGATTTTTTTGAAAGAAATTAATACTTCTATTCAGAAGGGATGCATTAAATTAGTTAAAAGTGATAGTAAAGACGTTTACAATTGTACAATATTCCACAATATTTCAAAATCAATCAATCATTCAATTAATCAATCCGTGGTGGGCATATGAGACTTTTTTTCTCATCAAATATTAAAGAAATCTTACCAACCCCAAACTTTTAAATGGTAGTCTATAATATTTCCTGAAAATCTCACCTTCATGAGTGAGTGAGAAAAGAATCTTTTTGACAGTCGCATGCTTAGAGTGCTCTGTGGGGCCTTAACAAACACAAAGTCGCTCCTGCTGGATATAGTGGAGAAACCAGGCATGTATGTGTGTTTGTGTAAATCCTGGGAGACCCCCACGACCTCCATGCATCTAATAGGACCGTCATTATTTAGCTGCAGGTGGAGGTCATTGTGTTGGTGCTCACGAGATGTGTGTTTGAAGCCAAGTTTTTGCATGAGGCACATAACGTAACCATGACGGCTGAGCCAGCGCACTGCTACAAAAATGATGACCAGGAATGAGACCGTAATAATGAAGGATAATGTAATTATGAGGTACAACGTGAGGTCAGACCCTTTTGGACTTTTGGAGGTAGAGCTCCTGGGTTCAGAAAATAAATCTGAAGCTTTCTCAGCCAGAGTGATGTTAATTACCACACTAGCAGAGAGAGAAGGCCTGCCGTTATCTTTTACAATCACAATGAAGCTAAAGACAGACTTGCTGTTCTCTTCTGTAAGTTTACGGGCTGTACGCAGCTCTCCAGTATGTGCGCCTATGTGAAACATTTCAGTATCAAGCCCCGAGAAGCTGTAGAATAACCAGGCATTGTGGCCACTATCACCATCCACAAATGTGATGCGATTGACTAAGTGTCCGATGCCAGCCGTGCTAGGTACCAAAAACTGCAGCGTCCCATCGGATGGGAGTGCAGGATATATAAGGACAGGAGGATGATCATTCTGATCTATAATAAACACATGCACCGTAGTGTTGGAGCTTTGAGCTGGAGTTCCTCTATCAAGAACCTGCACTATGAATTGAAATGCATTCAATTGCTCATAGTCAAACTTTCGCATGGCATATATCTGCCCACTATCTGGGTTAATGTATACATATGAAGACACAGACCTACCAAGAGCTTCACACTCCAAAATTGAGAAATAAACAGTGGAATTCTCACCCACATCTGGGTCTGATGCAGACACGGACAGAAGGGGAGCATTTGGGGCATTGTTTTCAGCTATGTCCACAGAGTAGGAACGCTGTGAGAAGATTGGGGGGTTATCATTAACATCTGAAAGACGTAACACAAAAGATTCCTGTGAGGAACGGGGCGGGGAACCAGAGTCTGTGGCAGTCACAATAATGGTGTATTCAGCCACAGCCTCTCTGTCCAGCAGGCCATCGGTCATTAAAGTGAAAAGCCCTTTATAAGGCGAAGTCATCTTGAAAGGCAACCCATAATGGATGTGCATGCTCACTTCGCCATTTTCCCCTTTGTCTTCATCTTTTACTTTGATTAGGGCAATGACAGTGCCTGAACTCACATCTTCAGAGATTACAGGAGAAACCACATTAATGCTGATAGCAGGGGTGTTGTCATTCACGTCAATAATCTCGATTTTGATGTTGCATGAGCCCTCCATGGGAGGTATTCCCTTGTCCCTAGCAAGAACAGTGACGTCATACACATTAGCGTGCTCGTGATCGACTAGTCCTGTAACTCTAATTTCTCCAGTCGCAGAATCCACACTAAAGAGTTTTAAAACATTGTCAGGGGTGTATTTATCAAATATGTAATATATTTCACCATTTTGACCATGATCGGCATCAGAGGCATTAAGAGTTGTATCTAACGTTCTATGAGGTGAATTTTCTAAAAGCGTGACTCTTTTTGTAAGATTATGAAAGTGTGGCGAGTTGTCATTGACATCTAGAATATTTATAAAAATGGCACTATTGCAGGACTTTTCTGGACTGCCACCATCAACTGCTGTTAAAATCAATCTAAATTCGTTCCTCTTTTCTCTATCATGAGGCTTGTTCAAGACTAAAATTGGGATTTTGCTTCCGTCACTTTTAGTTTCTACTTTTAGCATAAAACGATCGTTTTGACTAAGAAAATAAGCGCGCAGTGAATTCACACCCACATCAGGGTCATGTGCACTTTCTAAGCGGAACATAGTGCCTGGCGCAGCCGCTTCTGAAACTTCTAAAGAAGTGTTTCGGCTTTGGAAGTGTGGCGCGTTGTCGTTAACATCCACAATTTCTATCGTAACGCTGTGCATTTCCAAAGGATTTTGAAGAGAAATCTGAATCCGAGTGTGACAATGTAAATTTCCTCCGCACATACTTTATCTGTCCATTGTTTGCTTGACCACCAAAGCTCCGGATATCAGGTCTACGTCAAAATACTTAGCATTAGATTCCGAGATGATTCGCATCTCTCTTAGAAGTATCACATGAAAGTCCATTCCTAAATCTTTAGCCAGGTGGCCAACAATAGTTCCCGGTTTAGATTCCTCAGCTGTAGAATATAAAAGTTCCAAAGCGTGCGTTGCAAAACACAAAGAATTAAGAACAATCCAAACTGCAGCCCAGTCCAAAGATCTCTGAAAAAGCTCTTTACTCTTCATTTTTAATTGAGTATTTTCACTAGTAGCTATAGACTCCTTCGGGGTTTTAGTTCATGCATATAGGCTGCTAGACATCGCAAGACATTGCAGAGTATATGAGAAACACGTTTTGTATCCATGATCTCCACCATTTGTTCTAACGTTTCTAAACTAACAATACAGCTTCTGAGAGCAACAGGCCTGTGTGGGTCTGGGAGAAGAGTTAAAAGGGGTGGGGATAAAAACGTGCGTTTCTATTGGAGGAAAGTTGCTTTGCTTAAACAAAAGCACACATTGTGCTGTCCAAGGTGCTGAAAGTAGCGTCTCTCCATCAGTTACGTATAATTAGTGTATGTATAACCATAACTTGTTTAAATCTGCGTTTGTCTCACCTGTTGGCTCTCGAACGTCCACGCGCTGTCTGGTAATGACGCATCAAGCACGTTTAGCGTGTCTGTAAAGTTTGTGGTGCTGCTGGGTTTAACGAGTGTAAGATCACTGAATTCTGACATTGGAGAGAGATAGGAGCCAAATGACTGACTCTGAGACATCATGTCTCCTCCCAGAACCTCCACATACTTAATGGGCCCGTCAGTGTTGAGCTGGATCTGCAGGTTTCTGTTGGGGTTCTTGTATTCAGAATTTGTCCTCCTGATACAGCAGCTTGAGCCGCCTCTACTGCCTCGCGCACATTTCACCAGTAAAATTAAAAATGTCAACAGACACAACAAGGACACGGAAGCCAAAGAGATGATTAGATATAAAGTAATTTTGCCACTTTTCTTGTTGGACTCGATCGTTTTCTCTTTATAGTCTGAGATGGGCTCATGAAACCTGTCTTCTATCAGTATATCCACTGTGATTGTGGTGGACTGGATCGGCTCTCCATTATCCTTTATTTCTATCAGCAGTCTCTGAGAGGAGTCATCGTGCTCTGAAACAGCACGTTTCGTCCTCACCTCTCCCGTATGTAAATTGACACTGAACAGAGACGCGTCCGTGGCCTCCGCGAGCCTGTAGAACAGCCAGGCGTTATGACCCGAGTCCGCGTCCACTGCTGTTACCTTAGTAACGAGATGTCCTGCTTTAGCAGAACGGGGCATTCTCTGATGAGTAACAGACCCCATGGGTGTGGACGGGTAAATGACAGCAGGTGCGTTATCGTTATGGTCCAGAATAAACACATACACTGTCGCGTTACTACTTAAAGATGGAGAGCCATGATCTTTAGCCTGAACGATGACCTCAAACACTTTTCTTTTTTCGAAGTCAAACGAATGCATGCTAAATATGCTTCCATTGTCAGAGTTTATGTACATATACGAGGATATTGGAGTATCCCAATTTTTAGGGATCTCAATAGAGTATGATATTTTACCATTTACGCCGACATCAAAGTCTTGAGCAGATACCGAACAGATAATAGAGCCTGGAGTGTTATTTTCCTTTACGTACACATAATACACGTTATCAGGGAACTTTGGGGCATTGTCGTTAACATCAAGAATTTTAACTGGAATTATTGTTTTGGTATTTAAAGGGGGCGAGCCTGAGTCAAATGCAGTGATTTCCACGTTATACTCCGGGTAAGTTTCGCGGTCTAAAACGCCGTTTGTAACCAACGAATATTCGTTTGAAAAAGATGGTTTTAAAATAAATGGAAGATCAGACTGTATCTGCAGACTGACTTTTCCATTGTCACCAGAGTCGATGTCCCGTGCGCTTATTAACGCTACAACTGTCCCGCTTGGCGCGTCCTCCAGCACGGGGCTCGGTTTAGATGTCAGCACTATTTGTGGTGGGTTGTCGTTAATATCCGCAACTTCAATTTCAACCATACAATGACCCTCCATTTCGGGAACCCCTCTATCTTTGGCACTGATCTCAATGTTGTAAATAGGAGTGGTCTCATAGTCTAACTCCCCATTCAGGATCATTTCGCCGGTTTTCTCGTTAATACGAAACAATGAGCGCAACTCTTCAGATGTGTGCTCTCCTAAAGAATACTGTATATCTCCATTAGGACCTTCATCTAAGTCCGTTGCTTTAACCGTTAAAAATGACGTTCCTTGCTTGGCGTTTTCATTAATGGCCACTTTGTAAACTCTTTTCTCAAATACGGGGTTGTTGTCATTGTTATCCAGCACAGTGATATTTATTTGTGAAGTTCCAGATCTAACCGGCTTCCCCCCGTCTAAGGCAGTTAACATAAGCTGATGCATCGGTTTCTTCTCGCGATCCAGAGGTTTTTCCAGTACTAATTCAGGTACCTTGCGCCCATCTCCAAGGTCTTTTACTTTTAAACTAAAACACTCGTCTTTACTTAAAGTATACGATTTCAAGGAATTACTTCCAACATCTGGGTCTACTGCGCTCTCCAAAGGAAAACGCATGCCAGGGACAGTTGATTCTGCTATCTTTAAAACGCGGTCCGTCGACTGAAAATGTGGATAATTGTCATTAATATCCTGTATGTCGACTTCCACTCTGTAAAGTTGTAAAGGCTCCTCGATAACAATTTGAAGAGGCAGCAGACAATTTGCGTTTTTTCCACAAAGGATTTCTCTGTCGATTCTCTCTTTAACCACAATTTCTCCTCTGCGTAAATCCACGCTGAAATACTGCTTACCTGATTCAGAAGCTATTCGCAATTTACGGTCATACAGCTCAGATATTTTCAAACCTAAATCTTTTGCAATATTTCCAACAACAGCGCCCACATTTAATTCCTCGGGAATTGAGTAGCGAGTCTGTCCTTCTGTCGTACTACACAAAAGAAGAAAGAGAAAAAAGAAGAGCAAATAATGCCTCCAACATCTGAATGCCACCCTCTTTGTCATTTTGATTTTAAATCCAGACGATTCACCGTTCTAATAAAAACTAGGGGTACCACCACGACGACAATTTCGCTTTTCCATTTTGTCTCAAAAATATGTTAGAATCCATTTTATAGGAGAGATTAGAGCATTCCTCGTCTCCGTCTGCACTGAACGTTGTAATGCCAGTGGGGGAGGGAGTAGATCTCTTTGTACAACTCTGCATGTGATTGGTGCAGAGATAAACGCAATAACCAGTATAGCAAGAGAACTGCCTCTTAAAGGCGCAGCACAGCACCTGCTGTCAATCTCACACCAAATAACATTACGATAGAAGAAAAGTATTATGTATCACGAGTGGCCATATTTTATTTGTTGTCTTTGTATAATTTATATATTTCTATATTAATGAAATAAAACGACATTCTTTGGTAATGTAATATTTGATGTTGATATAATAATAATAATAATAATAATAATGTTAATAATAATAATAATAATTTTTATTATTATTATTATTATTAGTGTTATTATTATTATTATTATTATTATTATGTGCAAACAAAAGAGTATTTTGTGTTCAGACAAAAGTACACATGGTGCTGTCCAAGGTGCTGAAAATAACGTCATTCTATCACTGTTAAGTATAAATAATATAGTGTATGTATACACATTAACTTTTTACATCTAGGCTTTCTCACCTGTTGGCTTTCGAACGTCCACGCGCTGTCTGGTAATGATGCATCAAGCACGTTTAGCGTGTCTGTAAAGTTTGTGGTGCTGCTGGGTTTAACGAGGGTGAGATCACTGAATTCTGACATTGGAGAGAGATAGGAGCCAAAGGACTGACTCTGAGACATCATGTCTCCTCCCAGAACCTCCACATACTTAATGGGCCCGTCAGTGTTGAGCTGGATCTGCAGGTTTCTGTTGGGGTTCTTGTATTCAGAATTTGTCCTCCTGATACAGGAGCTTGAGTCGCCTCTGCCTCGCGCACATTTCACTAGTATGATGAAAAACGTCACCAAAGACAACAAGGACACGGAAGCCAAAGAGGTAATAAGATATAAAGTAATTTTGCTGCTTTTCTTGTTGGGCTCGATCGTTTTTTCTCTGTAGTCTGAGATGGGCTCATGAAAGCCGTCCTCTATCAGTATATCCACTGTGACTGTGGTGGACTGGATCGGTTCTCCATTATCCTTTATTTCTATCACCAGTCTCTGAGAGGAGTCATCGTGATCTGAAACAGCGCGTTTAGTTCTCACCTCTCCCGTATGTAAATTGACACTGAACAGAGACGCGTCCGTGGCCTCCGCGAACCTGTAGAACAGCCAGGCGTTATGACCCGAGTCCGCGTCCACTGCTGTTACCTTAGTAACGAGATGTCCTGCTTTAGCAGAACGAGGCATCCTCTGATGAGTAACAGACCCCATGGATGTGGACGGGTAAATGACAGCAGGTGCGTTATCGTTCCGGTCCGAAATAAACACATGAACTGTGGCATTGCTGCTCAGAGATGGAGAGCCATGGTCTTTAGCCTGCACTATAACACTAAACAATTTTACCTTTTCATAATCAAATGAGTTCATGCAGTAAATAGTTCCATTTTCAGAATTGATATAAAAATAAGATGATGCTGGAACTTGATTAGAACTTGAATCCAGAATTAAATAAGTAAGTCGAGCGTTTTTATCCTGGTCAATATCAGAAGCTTTTACAGAAAACAGTGACGCGCCTGCCAGATTATTTTCGTTTATGTAAATATTGTATGAGGACTGTGAGAATAGTGGAGCGTTGTCATTCACGTCAAGTATTTTCACAGTTACCGTTTTCGAAGTTTTTAAGGGCGGAATACCAGAGTCTATGGCCAGTATTTCTACATTATATTCAGAATGAACCTCACGGTCTAATAATGAATCAGTTATCAGTGAATAATGATTATGAAAAGGTTTCAATTTAAACGGAACATGAGGAGAAACAATTAGCTCGACTTTGCCATTATTACCGGAGTCCAAATCTTTGACGGTAATCAGAGCCACCACAGTTCCCACCGTTGCATTTTCAGGCACATGACTCGGTAAGGACGTCAGGATAATCTCTGGAGGATTGTCATTCTCATCTATGATATCTATCTGAACCGATGACTGCCCTTCGAGCTCTGGATTCCCTTTGTCTTTAGCACAAACATCAAACGTATATGACTTTTTAGTCTCGTAATCTAATTTTCCAATGACTGTGATTTCGCCGATTTCAGCGTTCACACTAAAAACATTTCTTACATGTTCGGGAGTATGCGCCGCGAATAAATACTGTATTTCACCATTTAGACCTTCATCCAAATCGTTTGCATTTATTTTGAGCACACTTGAACCGGCAATGGCTCTTTCTAAAACCGATGCTTTGTATGCAGTAACTTCAAATTTGGGTTCGTTGTCGTTGATGTCTTGAACAATTATTTGCAACACAGACGTGCCAGATTTGACTGGATTACCACCATCTAGGGCTGTTAACATGAGCTTGTGTATAGACTCTTTCTCTCTGTCTAAAGGTTTTTCAACCA